TTAACTATATCATGTTATGAATAAACTAAACATTTTGAATTTTTACCTCAGTGTGTTTCTTCTGAGTTTATGTGTGCTGTCACGCTCATTTGTTCTGAAGTCTCGAGACAAACAGAGTGAGCTTCAGCGCGAGCTTGTATTCTGTATTCTGCTAACTAACTGCAATTATCTCTGATGACGCAGTAATTTATCGCGGGAAGAAAACATCTTCGGTCTGTCCAATGATTGTAAAGTCATTAGGTCCGTCAGACTGAAGATATTTTAGCGGTAATGAGACCAAAAATATTTAAGACCCATCGAATCCGAATTTAAGACAATTTAAGACTTTTTAAGGCCTTATATTAGGAAAACGTTATTTAAGACATTTTAAGACTTTTTAAGGACCCGCGGACACCCTGTCTTCCTTCCTGGCACGCGATACTCTCTGACCTGTGTTTCTCACACCACTATGATAACATCATCACATTTCACACATTTAAGTTCAAGCCTCGTTCTGCCTCCTTGTTCCGCCCTGACCATTTCTTTCCAGTGGAACGCTGGTGTGTGTGGGAGTGAGAGTGTGTTTATGTGTGGGTTTGTCTGAGACAGAGATCGAGTGGTGGGTTGACAAGCGATAAGGGTGGCTGGATTAGGAAGTAATGGGTTAAAAATAGGTTGTTTGAAGGAGAGATTCCAAACCGAGGCAGGTGACTCTTTCATTTGAGTGAGCAGAGAGCTGGGGGTCTGAGGCAGAGAAGAGCAGACTGACTGGAGAATGAGGACGGATTACATCCCATTATGACCAGACGGGGGAAATAAGTAAACATGCATTGACAAGCATCAAATGGTGAAACCTGATAAAATCTCATTTTTCTAATACATAAAATATCAGAATATCAATGATTAACAACTTAAATTTAGTCTGTTTTTCACACAAGGTTACTATAAACTGTATGGTGAGCTGTGTAACAATTCCTTCTACTGTATTGCATGAATAAAATAAGAGCATAAGGGTTTGGAATGACATGAGGGTGAGTATATAATGACAGAATTGTCTTCTTTTTTTTGGGGTGAACTATTCTTATAATGTAGCTCTCCCTCACCAAATAGAGGTTTATTCAACTGTACTATTAGTATACTTCTTTTAATATAAAAATAAGAGTATACTTTCAGTATACTTTTCAGTTTTTTGTACTTATCAGAGATATACTTAAATGTATACTTAAGTATACTTGGCTTATACTGACAAGTATACAGAAAAATCAAGTATATTTGGTCTATACTTTGTTCTGTACTTAATCTTTTGACTGAGATGCACTTTGAAAAGTATAATTTATTATTCTAAGTATACTTAGTATAGTTTCCTGTTATTCCATCTGTTTGACAACGCCAAAAATGTGCCTCTTTTAGACACGTTTTAGATACTGATCTAGTAAACTTACATTTTCAAGTTTAGAGTAACAAAACAGCCTTGGGGTGGAATAGCTTAGAGCAAATAGTACAAATTTTCCAGAGAGTCTGACTGATCAATTTCTAAAGAAGCATGTCAAAATTATTCAGGGAAATAAGGTTTTCTTATCAAAGTGATTTCTTATCAAAATGTTAAGTACAACTTCTTAGAAGTTACAAAAAAGAAAAACATTTACATTTTCTGGTGAAAGTTCATTCATTCTCAGGCATAATGCTGACATCAATGGAAAAACTTTGGAGAGAACTGTCAGGATGCATATTCCTTTGTACAAAAGTGGACAGTGATACAAAAGGAATACCAAATCATGGTTTTAAAAGAAATTCAAAAACAACGGACTTGCGACAAGGTCCCTGAAATAACCAGGCCTTTACTTTAAGCTTTCATTTCGTGATGAGTGTTTATTTGCTAGAAGAAGAACAGGGGAAATACCAAGCAAATGTCTCAGAGCCAGTAAAAACTGGTACACAGTATGACAACACAGTAAGATGCGATATGCAGAAATGAAATGCAATGTTGTTTATCCGTACCGGAACTACCTGCTGTAGCCAAAGCACAATAAACTCATTTAGCCTTTTCAAAGGCCTATGGGAATCCATACACTGGTCTCATGTGACCAAGTCAATCGTTTTGGATCTAACAGCATCCAAAATGGTATGGCATTTCTAAGGGAGGAGTACAGTGAGAAGTGTCTGATTCCCACAATGAAGTTCGGTGGTCATGAAGTTTTTATATAGGGATGTTTGAGTGACCCTGGACCACAAAACTAGCCATAAGGGTCAATTTTTCGTAATTGAGATTTATACATAATCTGAAAGCTGAATAAAAAAGCTTTCCATTGATGTATGGTTTGTTAGGATAGGACAATATTTGGCCGAGATACAACTATTTGAATATCTGGAATCTGAGGGTGCAAAAAAAATCCAAATATTGAGAAAATCACCTTTAAATTTGTCCAAATGAAGTTCTTAGCAATGCATATTACTAATCAAAAATTAAGTTTTAATATATTTACAGTAGGAAATTTACAAAATATCTTCATGGAACATTAAATTAACTTAATATCCTAATGATTTTTGGCATAAAAGAAAAATCTATAATTTTGACCCATACAATGTATTTTTGGCTATTGCTACAAATATACCCCAGCGACATAAGACTGGTTTTGTGCTCCAGGGTCACATATGAAGGAGTTGTGCTTTATCGATGCTGTTATGAACTCACGCACCATTGTGTGATGTACTGTAGTATGAAACCCTGAAACCTGAATGATGCTACCATCTCCTCATTCTCTGCATTGCTGAGAATTTTTCCACATGACAATGCTGAAAAAATACATTCTTTCAAATATAGAATTTTTTTTTACTGCTTTATTTTTCTTTATCTTCACTTACCTAATAACAATAACTTAAACTGATTTAAAATCTTTATAATAACACAAACAAGGTTTGAGTCAGCTGAAATAGCAAGTTGGTGTGATCCAAAAAACTGCATAGATATGAGCAACCCAAAAAAAATCATGTTAATTTCCCTGAATAAACTACTCTTAGAGTTTGCTAAATATATCATGTTAAACTCTGGGGACAGTACATAGATAAAAGATTGAAAGTACAATTAGTAGAATTAGGACTTAGTGACCAACATGCTATTACAAACAAAATAATGCAAATAATCATTATCTGGGAGATAAGTTAACAGGTACTATAAGCTTCCCTGTGTAAATGTGACTCTGTTTGATGTTTGCTAGAACAACCCACCTTTATAGTAGAAGAGGCAATAATCAGCTAGAACAAACCATTTTCTCTTCCACAGCCGCATCCCTGAGCTGTCCTGAAAGTACAAAGCAACACAAACACTGATGGGAAAACACACACACACTCAGGCAGGTGAAGACATCTGATGGGGAAAGACAGCACTTCAAACAGACTTCAAACATGCAATTCGCAGCACTTCCCCTTGACAGCACCGTTTCACTTCCAGTTAAAGAGTTTTTTTAAAGCCTATTATCAAAAACTATCCATGTAAATACACTCCTGATGTTTTCACGCCGTGAAAGACCCATGTGTGCATGTGTGTTTGTGTCTGAATAACTGAAAAAGACAAAAGAAAAGTCAAATGAGCTGCCTACCTAGACCGCATTTATGATGTGTTTAAAAGTTCAAAATACGCATTTCAACTGTTCAAAAGTTCCTGTGATGCCCAAAAATCCTGTGTCACAACTACTGATGTTTAGGAAGACACATTTCCCCAATATTCAGATTTGTGGTCAAACAAAATGGTTTCAAACTTCATAAAATTGAAGTCTAAAATTGGTCTAGAAAGACTAAAAGACTAGAAATTTCAAATAGAGGTCCATGAACATCCCTGAAGAACCTCCAGGGTATAAAACAGAATTTTTTTAATAACTAATTTCTAGCTATAACCTTCGAACTGATGATCTGTTAAGCATTATGTAATACTAATATTCGTTAAAGTAAACTAACGTTTGAAAGTTTTAAAAGAAGTCTCTTATGCACATCAAGGCTGCATTTATTTGATCAAAGATACAGTAAAAATAGTAATATTGTGAAATATTGCTACAATTTATAATAATTTTTTTCTATTTGAATATATTTTAAAATATAATTTACTCATGTGATGGCAAAAATTACTCTAGTCTTCAGTGTCTTTTAGAAATCTTTCTAATATGCTGATTTTGCACTCAAGAAACATTTATTATTACCATCGCTGAAATGGTTGTGCTGCTTAATATTTCTCTGAAAACCGTGATGCAGCATTTATTAGTAACAGAATTTTTTTTTAAACTTTTGGTCAATTTAATGCATTCTTGCTGAATAATATATATATAATATTTAATATATATATTAAAAAAAATAATTCCTACTGACTCCAAACATTTGAAAGGTGATATAAATCAAAGACATTATAAAGTGTTACTGAGACAATCTAGCTTCTCGGGTCTGTAAAGGCTGAAAACTTGTCATGTAAAGTATACTTTGAAAGCAAAAGTTTGGTTAACCAATAAACAAGCATTGGTCAAATCCTCTTACCTGTTTGTAGAGCCATCCACGTACCACTACAGGAACACTGGGATTCCGCTTTATGGCATGATCCCGTTTGCCAAAGCTATGGACCCTTCCACTGGACTTGGATCCCTAAATCACACACACACACACACACACACACACACACATACATAAACTGAAGATGACTGGGGGATTGAAAGCTCATTCATCACCTATTAGTCTGGACCATCTGCCAGGGGTGCATAGCTGATCTTACACACCATCCGCTGGCATTCTGTGGGCAAAGCAACGTAAGCCTACATGCTGCCCGCCACTCACACATGCCAGAGCACTCATACGGCTAATACATCACCACTGCACGCCGTCGCTGCCAACGACAAGAGCTACAAGCACTCATTCATCTAGAACAGTCCAAACGCAGGCAGGAGATGACACAGGCAGCGTTCCTGCTGCTGCATTATTTGGCGGCTCTTTAATAAACTATGGCAGTCGCCCGCATTCTTAGGAACCTTGTGAAGACTTACAGAAAACGTTTGACCTCTGTCATTGCCACCAAAGGGTATATAACAAAGTATTGAGATGAAATTTTGTTATTGACCAAATACTTATTTTCCACCATAATTTGCAAATAAATTCTTTAAAAATCCTACAATGTGATTTTCTGGATTTTTTTTCTCATTTTGTCTCTCATAGTTGAGGTATACCTATGATGAAAATTACAGGCCTCTCTCATCTTTTTAAGTGGGAGAACTTGCACAATTGGTGGCTGACTAAATACTTTTTTTCCCCACTGTAAGATAATGATGATATGATTATAATATTACCAAGGCCTCCGTTATAAAACGATAAGCTTCATACAACTGCTGCTTTTGTATTGCAAAGGTCTAGCTTTTTAGATCAATGTGAATAATCCATGTCAAGCATATGTGAGGGATACAAGATTCACAAATGGTTTAAAATATCTTTTAATTGAAGTTTTTAAGGAATAACGAAATGAAAATTCAGCAATTATTCAGTCCCTCTCACACTCGTTCTATACACCAGTGACCGTGTCTGTATCTGTAATGTTCCAAAAAGAAAAAGGTATCCTAAAAAGTGTCATAAAATGGTCCATGTTTTGCATGAGGTACAAGCTACAATCAAAGTTAGAGGCCGACCGATTGATCGGCCGATTTTTGGCATTTTTTAATTAATCGGCATCGGCCGATTGGGCTGCAAATTAGGCCGATTTATAGGCAGGCGCATCTGCGGGCAGCTAAGCGTTGTTGCGGAACGCCGGAGAATCTCTCTCTGGTTGCGTGAGAGACGGAGCAACTCACACTCTGCAGCCGCTTCTTGTTCACACACAGCTTCAGCTAATTGTACTAAAGAGTAATTACGTTTTACCCTACTAGAATTGATGCCGGAAAGTTGTCATATTCATAAGTGCATCAAGTCATTTGCATGTGAAAGTAGAAACACATGCAATTCAGACGAAACTTCTGGGCTGATTATAACATGCACGATAGCTTTCCTCATGAAATGTGTGTGTAGGTCCGACAATAGCCTCCACGATGTCATCGCTCGTGGCCAGTGCACTCTTAAGCAGTTATGAGCAGCGGGCTGGGTAATATGTGTGAACTCTTTTATTTTTGTTATCACTTGGCCATTTGACTTATAGCAGTGTCCAGTGTTTCCCATACATTGAGTTATTTGTGGTGGCTCGTCACCGCCATAAATAGATTTCCCAAAAGGCTTATACTTCGTTGAATAAACTGAGCACTGCACGTTTCAAAATTAAAATGCAGCGCGGGTGTTTTTATATGAATGTATCTTTGAAAAGAACCGACTGTCTTCAGAAAAGCTTCAATGTCATTTTCATTTTGTCTTTCCTGTAATGCCTGATAAAAGTAGCGTTTGTGACTGTGAGCGCAGTGCTTATTAGATTACAGCCGATACTGGGGAAACCGCTATATTTCCCGCTCCAACAGCGCCTCCTGCTGGCGTCAGCAAACATAAACAAAAAGTATGTTTCAGAGCTGTTTTGAGAAGGTGCTTATGTTTTGAGCCATGTATTATTACTCTGAATTAGGCTACTACTACTATTACTATCTTGTACCCTGCAATAATCATTTACTCAAACTCACTTTTATGAGATGAAGAAAAAAAAAAAAAGAAGAAAAGAAAATCAGCCAAAATATCGGCCAAAAAATCGGTATCATATATCGGCCATCGGCTGCCCTGATTTCTAAATATCGGCAATGGCAAGTGAAAACCCCATATCGGTCGACCTCTAATCAAAGTCATTTTTTCTTCTAATCTTCACTTCTATTTACACTTGTGCATATCTGGCATTTGCAGCCAGAATTTTAAAAATAATAAAAAATTTAACATATGTGTCACTATGATCTGTATACATATTCTTCAAAAATTTCTACTATTGTGTTCCACTAAAAAAATACCCCTTGTGGAAAAAGCCCTTGTGTGAGAGTTTAATTGCACTGAATGTGTACTGGTAGTGTAGCTTAAATCTTAAAAGTATATATATTTTTTTAAAACTGTACATGCAGATAATATAATATAAATGAAATAAAAGGTATTGTAAAAGAAGAACACTTTCACAACTGTTTTCCTAACACACTTGAGAACACTTTAAAAAGTGCACTTTGACTTTGACATGTCAAATAAAAAGTTTCATTTTTAAGTACATTTTAAATCGTTGCTTTATTAAGATTTTGTCATGTTTTAAAGTACACTTATTTTTATGTTGAATAAGATACTAAAAAACTTGTAAAGTTCATGATTATAATTTTTACTGTAGTGTGTTATCTGATATGACATTTCAAGTTAATATATTTCAATGTACTAAAATGCAACTTCATCATTACAAAGTTGTACTTATATTATATTTAAATACATGACATTCGAGTTTAAACAGAAATTTAATTAAAGTATATTTAAGTTTGGAACTGTCCTAAATAATAACGGAATTGCAATTATTGTGTGGATTATCACTTTAACATGCGTTTGCTTTTTTCCAGTATTTATTCAACTCATGTGTATCACATCCCAAACAATGCATACAGATATGCAACAAATCACTCACAATACGAATCGCAATCCGTTTCATTGGTCTTCTTTGTCTGCTCAGAGATGGTAGTCAAGGGCTCTGATCACTCTGTGTTTGTGTCGCCAGCACTAGGGAATTGATGCCTCAGCACAGAGGAATAAACACTCTAATTACCAGAACAGATGCTAACCAAGCATAGAGAATGATCAGCATCAGGAGTCTTGTCAAGCTAACTTGCTCATCTAGTTCCATAAAGTCTTCTATCTACAAAATATCAGGTCTATTTTCTTTCCGTTTGACTAGTTTTGTTGTCTGTCCAACAGGATCAGGTTCTTACTAACCTTTGAGCCTGAAGTGGTGTCCAGAGTTGAAGAGGTGACGGTAGTCGAGGCCTCACTAATGGTGCTGGAGGGCCGTGTGGTCGTCTGTGGTTGCTTCAGCATGTGTCGTCCAGTCCTGCAGAGGAGAACACGGAGATGGGTCTGTTACGCTGCTAAACTGCTTTACATTTAACACATTTCATTAAGGCTGCACAATTGAATCAAAATAAAAATGAAATTGTGATATGGCTTAGTGTGAGCAAAGGCTGTAATTTAATTAAAGGGGTCACATGATGCGATTAAAATTTTTCCTTTCTCTTTGAAGTGATACAAGCTCTTGGTGCATAAAGAAGATCTGTAAAGTTGCAAAGACTAAAGTCTCAAATCCAAAGAGATATTCTTTATAAAAGTTAAGAGTCAACCACGCCTACCTAAAACGGCTCATTCTAACATGCCCCCACATGTTTACGTCACGATGTGGGAAGATTTGCATAACGAGAGTAGACTACAATGCCGGCTGTTCTGACTGTAAGTAAGTTTTTTATATTAAAGAATGTGCCACTGATGATTCAAACGCAAGATTTGAGCAGTGTAAAGTAGCGCTTGTTGTTTGTCATTTCTCCGATGACAAATGCAGACATGGTTTTATGTTTACGCGGTGCGATGCAACAATGCAATGACATGTATAAATCATTATAATCCGTAATTATGTCCCCACTGGATGCAACAAATGCCTCGTTTATAATGGGTTTGAATGTTTTTGTCTCGTCGCTCTGGCCTGACAGGGCATCACAGTATGGTAAGGGGCGTAACATTTCTGTCACACGCTTGAGGTATTCGGCCAATCACAACGCACTAGATAGCTGGCCAATCAGAGAATAGCTCGCTTTTCAGACCGATGAGCTTTGTAAAAATTGACGCGTTTCAGAAAGGCGGGGCATAAAGGAGAAACAATAATGTACAGTATGTGGAAAATAATGTGTTTTTTGAACCTTAAACCACATAAACACATTTCATTACACCAAATACACAAAATAATGTTCTTTTTAGCAGCATCATATGACCCCTTTAAATATATTTGAAGCGTGTTTCAGAATGAAGCACAGCACTGTGTCCTTTTACACGCGAGCAGCTTATGATGAATTGTTTTCAGTCTCTCAGAGCAGTAACTGTTTCTCCACACGAACAAATCTCTCCATCTGCTCTGAGTTTGGAACGCTTATAGCTTGCATTTGAAAATGCAACGCTCCAACGATCTTCCCAAACTTGTCAAGAAACGTGCTTATAAAGAGGCTGTTAAATAAGTTTTAAGGTCTCTGAGGTTTTTCACCAAAATAAAAGCTTGGTTTAACTTTTGAAAATGTAGCCATAGATAGACAGCCATAGATATTAGTATTTAAATTTTACAGTGGAAATATTACAATATTAATTTTTCTTTTTTTATATTTGTATTTACTAATATAATAATAATAATTTTAATCATGATAAATAATAATGATTATTATTTTTTTTTTTATAGCCATATTGCTATTAGGGCTGTTAATTTAACATGTTAATTTGGTGCAATTAATTTGGAAAAAGTTACACGTTAAAACGCAGTTGCTGACAAACATGATGCTAGACGATGACTGACTATGTGATGTAGCCTATGAGAATGCAGTTATATGCCCCTATGGGTTTTTGTTATATATTTATATCATATGATATAGTTTAGTACTATCACACAAGCATGTGATATTGATTTTATACAATAGTTCCATATTGTGTTAATAAATAGTTAGTAAATAGGTTAATATTGTGTTAAATTTTAAAACTACATTGTCAATATTGTCTGTTTTGCTCAACTTTGAAAAAAAAAAAAACGGTTCTAAACAAAGCCACAGCAGAACTGTTGTGCATCTCCAAGCAAAACACAGTGTTGTTTTGAAAGAATCCATGTTTTTGAACTAGACGAATGAGCCAGTGATTAGGTGACCCATTCATAAAGACAGCCAATTGTTTAGTTTCTGAATAAATTGGTTGAATGAATGACTGACTCAATGACTCACTCATTAAGACAGTGACTTGCCACAACTTATTGGCGGTTTTAATATGTAAAGTATCATTTTATTTATTTTTAAAAACCATTTCATATTTCAATATTAATTAAAAAATGAATTAATACCCATTTATTATCATTATTTATGCAATGCTGAATCAAAATATTTCTTTTTAAAGCTACATTTTGTCTACTTTTTTGTCTATTCAATCATTTTCTCATTTAACACAATGATGACTTTAAATGACTTATTAGAGGTTATTTCTCAGCTAAAATTGAGATTAACTAATCGGCACATCATGTAATTAATTAGATTAAACATTTATATTGCTTGACAGACCCAATAGATTTTTTTTACCAAATTGTGCAGAAGAAATTAAATCTGAACACATTTGAATTAAATTGTTAAATTGTTCAATTAAAATTAAATCGCAAAATTTATCTGAAAAATTACATTTTCTTTTTTTTCTAAAAAATCCTGCAGCCCTACATTAATGTTACACAAATAATTATGTAAGGATGAAACATGGTTGCTACTAAGGAGGGAAAAATACTTTTCACCCGACAGTGAGAGTATAATAAGTTAACCCATACTCCCTATAATTAGCCACACCATACTATAACTGCAAGAAAACAGCAATGGCTAGAATTTCAGGTTGTTTTCCACAATTTCACATCAGTGTAAAAGTGAAATCCTCTTCCTATGTAATCAGAAGTCTTAGTCATAGTATAGTTGAGTGCTAGCATATGATACGTTGTGTCTGTGGCAAAACATAACACTTAAAAACTGACTGGAACTCTGCATGGTGACATTCATGATAAACAGTGTGTTTCACTCCTTAGTGTTTTGAACGATGGTCAACAGTAACCAAAATGTTTGGTTAGCAACATACTTCAAAATATCTTCTTTTGTGGTGCACAGAGGAAGAAAGGCATACAGGTTTGGAACGGCATGCTGGTGAGTATGATGACAGAATTTTCAATTTTGGGTCAACTATCCCTTTAGGTCTGCCATACAGAGTGCTATTAGTGTGTAGCTGCCAATGTAAAACACAGTCACTTATGAGGTTCCATGACTGTTAGAAATCAGCTGACTGACTATGCAAGCAGTAGGAGTTACAACTTATGTAAAGCTAATGGCTATAGACCGTATATGAAAACAAGCTCCTACCAAAAGTGACAACCAGTCACACAGCATTCTAATGCAGTACTGCTCTGTTCACACTAGAGATACATGTTTTTAATATCACAGGCTCACTTCAAAAAGCTTTTAGTAAATTAGAGTTACTGTGATGTGTCAAGTATAATTCCCCATGATTATTCAGAGAATGAACTTTCCCTTAAGCGCTCACTGACCTGGATGACAAATGAAATCCCTCAGGCAGTCAACAGGTAGGTTATATTAGTGGGCTATGAACTATGAAACTGACAAACACTCTTAAAACATACTGCTGATCAATATTGCTTTAATATTCTCCACACTGTTCATTAAAGGGGTCATATGACGTTGCTAAAAAGAACATTATGTTGTGTATTTGGTGTAATGCAATGTGTTTATGCGGTTTAAGGTTAAAAAAATACATTATTTTCCACATACTGTACATTATTGTTGCTCCTCTATGCCCCGCCTTTCTGAAACGCATTGATTTTTACAAAGCTCATCGGTCTGAAAAGCGAGGTGTACGCTGATTGGCCAGCTATCCAGTGCGTTGTGATTGGCTGAATACCTCAAGCGTGTGACGGAAATGTTACGCCCCTTAACATACTGTGATGCCCTGTGTCCCGGCGCGACAAGACAAAAACAATAAAACCCATTATTGTGGCAACCACATGTGACGACCCCGGGCTGGATTCCGCTTCGTCCACGGTGAAAGCCGATCCGACGATCCACAGCGCGAAGATGATTTATTTCCTCAGCGACCAGCACGGATCAGCTCCAGGCATGACGAAGCGGATATCGTCCTCTTTTGGAAGGCCAAACAAAGTAGTTTCGGTTTCACAACGAAACACACAGCGCCTTCACGACATGGCAGCGGCAGCAACAATACTACAGCGAGAATAAAAGTTATGCTTTCTTTCTTTGTGTAAACATTTGGGCGGAGTTATGCAAATCTTCCCACATCGTGACGTAGACATGTGGGGGCATGTTAGAACGAGCCATTTTAGGTAGGCATGGTTGACTCTTAAATTTTATAAAGAATATCTCTTTGGATTTGAGACTTTAGTCTTTGCAACTTTACAGATCTTCTTTATGCACCAAGAGCTTGTAACACTCCAAAGAGAAAGAAAAAATTTTAATCGCATCATATGACTCCTTTAAGTAAATCCAATCTAGCATTGTTTTAAACCAACTTCAAAAAGAGAGGACACATATGGCAACTCAAACTGATGTCTTCAGTTACTTTCACTGTTTTTAGTAAATCTTCTGCATCTTAATAAAGGAAAACACTACCATTAAAAATGTTGGGGTCGGTAGGATTTTTTAAAATGTTTTTGACAGAAGACTTGATGCTTACCAAGACTGCATTTATTTAAAATCTAAATCCAGAAAAACTGTAATATTTTTAAATAAAATGACTGTTTCTATTTGAATATATTTTATAATGTCATTTATTGCTGTGATGCAAAGCTGAATTTTCAACAGCCATTACTCCAGTCTGTAGTGTCACATGATCCTTCAGAAATCATTCTAATATGCTGATTTGTTGCACAAGAAACATTTCTTATTTTAATCAATGTTGAATACTGTTGTGCTGCTTAATATTTTCACTGAAACCATGAAACTTTTTTTCAGGACTTTCGTAAGTATAAAATTCAAAAGAACAGCATTAATTTGAAATAGAAATCTTTTGTAACATTATAAATGTCTTTTTGTCACGTTTGATGAATTTAATGCGTCCACGCTGAATAAAAGTATACATTTCTTTAAAAAAAACACACAAAAAAAACACACACGTTCCCAAACTTCTGAACTGTAATCAATATTCCTATAGGAGATCCATGCATTTAAATGTTTTTTTAAATGATATCCCAGTTATTAAAACTAAGAAACAGACAGCAAACTAGGACAGAACCACTGGTTTTGGCTCCTCTTCAGT